CCCATGCAATGAAATGCTATACAAAAGTTATTTACAAAACAGCAACACAGACTCAAAAACATAAAAAGCAAACTTACGGTTACCAAAGCAGAAAGGTGAAGAGGGGATAAATTTGGAGCATGAGAGTGACGGATTCACACTACTATATGTAAAATAAACAACAGATTTACTGTGTATCACAGATAGCTATGTTCAATATCTTATACTAACATATAGTGGAAAATAATATGGAAAATATTTCCATATGTATAACTGAATCACATTGCTATATGCCTGAAACTAACCCAATATTGTAAGTCAACTACACTTCAATTAAAAAAAAAGTATCAGCCATTACCTCAACATTATAGAATTTAAGGTTTCGATTTACCTACTTCCAAATCTTTATTTTTCCAATTCAAAAAAATGCAGATGCACTACTTTTATTATCTAATTAAAAGATATAAAGCAAATTTAAAAAGAACTAAAAAGCGAATTGACCACTGATACGTGCAGCACCACAGGTGAGTCTCAAAAGCACTGTGCTGAGGAAACGACGTTAAGCACTGTCTGCTACGTACATCATAGCCATCATGGGCTGTGATTCTACTTACATGAGATGATTGAGAAAAATGTGCAATTGTATGATTCTATCTATATGAAATTATGTAAAAACAAAACCGTATAGTGACAGAAAGCAGATCATTGGCTACCAGGAGCCAGGAACTAGGACGTAGGACTTAGCTTTTTGGAGTGTTTCTGTGTTGATTGGTTACAGAAACAGGTACATTCAAAAGCTATTAAACCGTGCACTTAAATTTGGTAGATGTTATTTTATGTTTTATCCCAGCAAAGGTCAGTGAAAAACAGGCTCTGCATGTTTAAAATATCTAAGTTACAGAAGTGCTTATTTTGTACTCATTTTCAAATGTACCATCACTTAATATGTATAATAAATGATTAAACTTTTTATCATTTTGATGAAAATGATTAGACTTTGCTTTATTATATCATATTTGTTTTAATTTTTTCTGTTGATGTCAATATCAAATCCATATGTTAAGGATTTTGCATACAATATATTTAATTAAAACTTGTATCTTTCACCTCTGGTAAATCAGAGTTAGAATATTAATTTTGTACATACATGTGGAGTTAATAACTAGCATTTATACTGTTCAAAGTAACTTAATAACTATTTGAAAGGAATGTTAAAATGCGAAAACATCTCTCACAGTACAGGGGATTGGAAGAGTATCAGGTTATATCTCTCTTTCCTATGTGCTAGCCAGTTGTCTGTATTTAAAAAGCAGGCTCATTACCTGTTTTATTTCTTAGTAGTTGTTAATTTTCATCAATAAAATTCAGTTAGCTAATTTAAAAACTAGGAAGAGACTTAACCCCAGTATTTTTATATTAATTGAAATGCATTGGCAGTAGAAACTTGCAGTTTACTTTTAACATACCTAATTTTGTATTGATTTGGGCTATTTTTGATTAGTGTTTATTCAGGTTTTTTAGTTACTATCTTCTTATAAATGCAACTGATATAGAATCAACAGATAATAGCCAAAATATCAGTAGGAACCGTAGTCATCCTGTGCTAGAGGACTTTCTAAACTGATACACTCCCATGCCCCGTAGCAGTAGGACTCTGGTCTGTGCCAAGCCTGCCTTGCCATAGGCTACTTTTGAGTGAGTTCATGACTTTGATCAATTGATCCTAGATAGAGGTAGAAGCCCCAATGTCTTCTTATGACCTGCGCTTGATAGTCACAAGCCATCAATTCTGCCACATCTTATTTGTTTCAGGAGAGTTATTAAATACAGCCCAGGCTCCTTGGCAGCAGTATGGAGTTCCTTCTCTTTAAGAGAAAATAGCAGAGAATTTGTGGACATGTAACAGGTTAGAACTTTTCAAAGCTGATTCTTTGAAAAGCTCAATAAAATTGACATACTTTGCCTAACTATGAACAAAAGAGGTAACATGAATTACCAAAGTCAGAAATGAAAGAAGGGACTGCACTGCTGACCATGTAGAAATTAAAAACATTAGCAGGAAATATCAGCCTACAAATTAAGACAATTGGGTTGAAATGGACAAGTTCCTGGACAGTCAGAATTGTCAAAAGTTACTCAAGAAGAAATTAAAACTCTGAATAGACCTGTGACAGATCCATTGGATTAGAATTCAAAAATCTTACCAAAGAGTCAAGGCCCAGATAGGCTAACTGATAAATCTTATTAAATAGATAAATTAGAAAAATACTATCCCTTCACAAACTCATTCGGAAGATAACAGGAAGAAGCACTTACCAACTCATTCTGCGAGGCCATCTTTTCCCTAATATCAATGCCAGGCAAAGACGTCACAAGAAAAAACTATAGACTAATAACCCTAATGAACATATACAAAAGTGCTTTACAAAATATTGCCAAACCAAATCAATATACAAAAGGATTGTATATATATACAATATACAAATATATACAAAACCAATATACAAAAAGGATTGTGAAGTAGCCATATGGGTTTTATCACAAGAACTCAAATTGGTTTAAATCTGAAAATCAGTATCATGCACATCGTTAATAGAATACAGGATAAACAGGTAAGTAGCAGCCACAAAAAAGTCCCATACTTTTCCCATACTTTCCCATACTACACCGTGCTTAATGTGTAAAGACTGAATGCTTTGCCCCTAAGGTCAGGAAAGCTAGAATGTCTTCCATTCTCACCACTTCTATTAACATTACCTTGGGGATTTCAGCCTGTATGCTAAGAAAGGAAGAGATGGAGGGAAAAATCAAAGGCATCCAGATTAGTAATGTCTTTTTCCTTGATGACCAAGACATGTACAGTTGTTACAATGAAAAGTGTAAAACAAGTGGCTGTTAGAAATTAAAGACAACATCAATAAGTGGAAACATTCCATATTCATGAATCAGAAGGTTCAGTACAAAGATCTCAATTCTTCCCAGATCTATACATTTAGTACAATCCCTATCAAAATTTAGTACACTTTTTGGGAGAAATTCAGCTGAAATACAATGGATCTAGATTTGCCAGAACAGTTTTGAAAAAGAACAAAATTAGAAAAACTATCTGATTTCAAAACTTACCATAAAACCACAATAATCAAAATGTGTGCTATTTATCCAATGATAGGCATATAAGTTAATGAAACTACATTAAGAATAAAGAAAATAAACCCTTGCATTTATGGTCAGTTGCTTTTTAACAAAGTTGCCAACACAATTCAATGAAGAAAGGGTAATCTTTAAATAAATATTACTATAATGATTGGAAAATCACATGCAAGAAAATGAACATCAACATTTACCACACACTGTTCATAAGAATTAGAAAATGGATTTAATCAAAATTTAAAATGTTTGTGCTTTAAATACATCACTTAAGTATATGAAAAGATATGCCACAGACAGAAAATTTTTGTACATCATGTATCTCATAAAGGAACTGTATCCAGAATGTATGGAGACCTTTTACAATATAGGATGAAAGAAGCCACCCAGTTAATGAAGAAAAGATCTGAATAGTAATTTCCTCAAAGAAAATAAATGGTTAAGTAGCACATGAAAAGAAATTCAACAGTGTACATTAAAATTATAAGGTATCAGTTTACACTCACTAGTATGGCTATAATCAAAATTACATACAGTAGTAAGTTTTGGCAGAGATGTGGAAAAATTCAAACATCATGCATTGTTTGTTGTAATGTATAATGGAAAACCATTTGGCAGTTTCTCAGAAAGTTAAAGTCAGCGTACAGCCCAGCAGTTTCACTCCTAGTAATCTACCCCAGAGAAATACAACCATATGTTTATCAAAGACATGTATGTGAATGTTCCTAGTAGCATTTTTCATAATAACTAAAAAGTGAAATAATTTAAATGTCCATCAGTTGATGAATGAATTTTTAAAATGTGGTGTATTCTCTATTCATACAATGGGATACTACTTAGCAATCAAAAGAAATGAACTGCTTATACATGCTGCCACAGTGATGAATCTGAAAAACATGGTTAGTGAAAGAAGCCTAATGCAAAAGATTACATGATGTCTGATTCCATTTGTCTGAAGTGTTCAGAAAAGGTTAGTTCATACAAAGCAGTTTGATAGTTGCCTAGAGCTAGGGGTAGAATTAAGCATTAGTTCCAGATAGGCACAAGGCAAGTTTTTGTGGTAATTAAAATGTTCCAAAATACATTGTGGTGATAATTGCACAGCTCTAGAAATTTACTTTAAAAGATTGAATGGTACACTTACATTCATAAATTTTATGGTATGTACATTACACCTTTGTAAATTAAGCTCGAAAAAAAATAGGTATCTTGTCCTTAGTGGTAGGAAGAACTATGGCAGCATACTTCTCTGAGATTCTGGGCTCCAAATGTAGTATTTAATCCTGCCACCTATTTCTCACTGCTACTTAGTATTGGTCAGTTATGTCCTTTTTTATTTATATTACATTAAGAAAATAGAAAACTTGGTATATTGTTAGGGTATATAAAAAAAATAGTTTCCCTTACCTTTATCCCAACCCATGAATAGACACCTGAAGAGTGGATCCTCTTTCCTCTGTTACAATAGGTATGAAAAACATGGTGTTCAAATTAATAATGTACAAATATCTTATTTTTAAGAGATGACTATAAAAGCTGACAAAGATGTGACTGCAATTTTTTATGTATTTCTTAGTAACTGTAATAGCTCTTATACCAGTAGTGAATTATTAATCATACTGTTATTAATCAATTTATAGAGCTAGATATTATAATGGTTTTGTAATGACAGCTTACTTTAATGAATAGAACATGGATAATAGACCTGTGGCTCATTCAAATCATTTGTTTAAGCATTAATTGTAGATTGAAACACCTCTAGCATTCATTAGTATAAATACATCAATTTGAATGAGCCCAGAAGTCATGATTTATTATTGATATAACTAATCTTAAGTTTAAATTGATTCCACATCAAATTCTTTTTCTTGCAGGCGTATCTCATTAGCTAGTCCACGTCAACTTTTTAAAGCTTCTAATATGACCCAGCGATGGCAACACAGGGAGATTTCAAACTTTGAGTACTTGATGTTTCTCAACACAATAGCAGGTAATTTAAGCCCATATGTTGATTTATTTCAAATAATGAGTTATTAATTAGATTATTTGAGTATTCATATGAATGGAGTCATTCTATGTAAAGCTGAAAGCATAAGCAACATACAAAGATGAGAAAAAATTACATATAGCTAAAGAATGATTATTAGTATGTTGTGTGTGTACATGTATTCATAAAGGTTTGATGAAAATGAAAACTAAAAAGATTGTGTGGAGACATTAATTAAGAAAGATTTTCTCTCAATTTGAAGGATTAGCAGTCAATTCACGGGGAAGTTTTTCAGAGTTTCTGAACAAATGAGCAATATCAGAGCTGTATGAAAAGTTGGAATCAATACGAAAGCTAAAGAGGGGTGCAGAGAGTCTAGGTAGAGAGCAAAAGTTAGGAGGCAGTTACACATAAAGAGTAACGAGGGCCTGCATTAGGTGACAGTAGGAATTAAAACAAAGGATTAGATAACACAAGAATTTACAAGGTACACACCATCTGCCATCCAGCACACTGAATGCTGGAGTAAATGAGAAGAAAGTGTCAGAAGAGACTTCCAGGCTTCTGTTCTAAATCATGGGGAAACCTTGGTGATATTAAAGGAAAAAGAAGGGGAAAATTTAATCTAGAGAAAGATGATGATTTTACTGTCCTAGCAAGGCATACAATATATCAAAAAGAGATGCCGAAGTATAGAGGACATTTGGAACTTAGAGAAAGGACATTGGTTTCATCTGCATAGAGAGATGCACAGAGACTAATCACCATGAGACAGGGGTGAGATTACCAAGACAGATGATGCAGAAAGCAGTGAGATAAGGTCTGGGGACTGCTCTGGAGCAGGACAACAAGCAAGAGGAAAGTTATCAAAGAAGGGAAGAGGATCAGTGATCCCAGAAATTGTAGACTTAGTAGGAGAACTAAGTTGAAGCAGATGGATTGAGACATGATGGGAAAGGAAGAGGGGAAAGTGTTGGCCTCTGTATCAAATGTGATTGGGAGGTGAGGGGGAATTCACAGTGAATACAAGTCATGCCTGAGGCTTTAGCGTCTCAGAACTTACAAGTTACTTTATAGGAGTTCATTTTCAAAATAAAAAAGTTTGAATATAAGGACTGAATGGTTGGAGATTATATGAGAACCTTAGGTGTAGATTGGACTTTCCTGGTGACTCAGATGGTAAAGAATCTGCCTGAAATTCAGGAGACCCCGGTTCAATTCCTGGGTTGGGAAGTTCCCCTGTAGAAGGGATAGGCTACCCACTCCAGTATTCTTGGGCTTCCCTGGTGTCTCAGATGGTAAAGAATCTGCCTGCAGTGGGGGAGACCTGGGTTTGATCCCTGAGCTGGAAAGATCCCCTGGAGGAGGGCATGGCAACTCATTCCAATATCCTTGCCTGGAGAACCCCCGTGGACAGAGGAGCTTGGTGGGCTACAGTCCATGGGGTTGCAAAGAGTTGGACACGACTGAGTGACTGAGCATGGGCATTCAGTAGTTATGTACTGAATTTAACTTACTTAACAAGAGTCTGTTGACAGTGAGCAGGTATGTACTCTTTTATTGTAGGTACAGTAAACTTGATTATTTAAGCATATAGGATAACAAAAGGATTTTATTGTTTATTGTTGATAAGATCTCAATCAGAAGGAGAGAAAAATGCAGGAGAAAAGGGATATCAAAATAGGCTGCTTTTTGCTGTTAAGTTCGTTTATTTTTTCTGGGAGAAATTAAAACTGACGGAAATATGAAGTGTGATAATTACATCTGAATTAAAATTATCTTATTATTCATATTTTGTAAGACTGTTTCCACGTCAGTCAAGGAAGAACTCTGTTACTCTAATAAGCGTCAAGCTCATGATGAATAGAATGAAATAAAATGTTAAAAACATCAAATCATGAGGAAGGCTTAGATACCGAGAATCTGTGTGGAGGGCTAGTGTAATATTCAGCTGTATATTGATATAACATTCGTATATATTTGAGAACTGGAAAAGAAAGAAGGGGATAGAATACACTGTAAGAAAGGCATTCAAGCAATATTGATATACTTGTCTCCCTTGTATATTAGCCATAGAAGTTTGTTCACATTAGATCTAGCTAAATATCGGTTAGAGACTATAGTAAAATGGTGGAGGCAGCATTTTTACTCTGGAAACAGTGATGTCACCTACTGAGCCTGCCTCCCTACAGTGGTGATATTCAGAAAGCTGCTGTTTCTACATGGATGGGCCACCTCATCCTTTGCTTTATTCATATTGTTAATAGACCTGAATGTGTCATTAAATGTTTTTGATTTCAAAGAAGCATGGATGAGTCTATGGCATCATTTGGGAACTGAATAAGCAGCCTCGATGGTGCTGTGAATTATATTCAAAGGGGCATAGAATTTGAAAGGTTTGACAGGAATTTCAGAGTTATTTAGAATAACCTCATCATTTTACAGGTGACTAATGAATGCCCACAGGGGTTAAGTCATTTGAACTTGGTTGATTAGTTTGTTGGTTGATTGGTTAGTTAATTAATGGCAGAGAAAGGATTCAGGTTTTGAAAAACTCTTATGTGATAGGAAATTGTTTTTTAAGTTCTTAGTGAAGATTATTTTATTTGGGTCAATTAATAAAAAATACTTGTGGAATTTATAAGAACATCAGCATGGGTACAGCGTATCTAGACTTAATATAGTTCAACCATTACAAGTTCCATGATTTGGGGCAAGTTACATAAACCTTCGTGCCTCAATTTTCTATCTGTAAAATAGGGTGATCCTTATTTCAGAGTTATTATGAAAATTAAGTGAAATAATGAATAAATGATAGCACCGGGAACAATGTTTTGCACTCAGAAATTGTTGTTCTTGTTATTTTTAATAAAATGTATTCTGGAATGTTTATCATCTCATTATTCTAAATCAAGAATGCCTTTTCCCCCTCTTCCAGGACGGACTTACAATGACTTAAATCAGTATCCTGTGTTTCCATGGGTCATTACTAATTATGAATCGGAAGAACTGGATCTTACTTTGCCAAGTAACTTCAGAGATTTGTCCAAGGTAATTTCTTAGTTCATCTGAAATACTGGTATAAAATATTATATATTATTTTGCATATAAAAAGAAATCTGATTATCTTTATTTTCACAACACTTAAAAAAACTTTTTAATATTATAACTTTAATATATTTATCTTTTAAATGTATTTTCATTATTCTCAAATTTAAAACAAGTTTAATATGCATGTTAAGCTTGATGGCGGTTAAATATTTTGAATTCCACACATTCAGTGCTTAAACCTTTCTTGGCTTATCATTGAGTACGGAATGATTCTCTCTCATCTCCACACCTTGCTTCCTCTGCCTTGGACATTCGTCTCTCTGCTCTGTGAATGGCTGACCCTCTCCGTCCTGCAGGAACACTACCTTATAGAGACTGTTAATGATCCCTTCCTTCCTGTCAAAGCATCCAAAATGACCTGCATTTCACATGTTCTTCTACTTCGTCGTTTTGGTTCTTCTTGTGTCATTGTTCACCATTATTTCCCTCTTGCCAAGTATAGAGCGTGCCATTCAATAGATGTATTAAATGAATTAAATAATGAAATATACATGACATTTCCTCCAAGTTCTAAAAAATTAATTTTAACTGTATTACATTTTAAAATGTGAAACACATAAATAATAAAACAAAAACTACCCCTAATTTACCACATATCAATAAGTAATAATTACCTTATATTATACACAGTGGTTATTATATAAACATTTCTCATATCTTCAAGTATCATTAAGAATTTTCCTTTTCTGTCATAAATTATCAATAAATGGAATATCCTGAATCATTTTGTGGTTAAAAAATGAGGTTACATGCCTCTTTTTTTCTTTTTAACTTTTTATTATGGAGAATTCCAAACATATGCAGAAGTAGACCAAATAGAATAATAATAAGTAGACAAAACAGGCACATTCTCATGTATCAATCACTGTACTTCAGTAATTATTTTATCTTTACTCTCATTTTCTCTCCCCTTACCCATATTACTTTGAAGCAAATTTCAGACATCATATCATTCCATTCATAAATATTTCAATATATACTTTAAAAAACTTTTCAGAGTACAACCATAATACCATTAGCAAACTTAAAAATATTAACAATACTTTCTTAATATCATCAAATACCCAATAGGCTTTCAAAATTGTATTTAGTTTGTTTATTCCAGTCAAGATCCAAACAAGAACCACACATTGCAATTAAGTCTTTTTATTCTGTGGAGTTCTCTTTCATTTTTTTTTTTTTTAGTTGATTTTTTAGTTGAAGTATATTATTGTCTTGTAGATTTTCTCATAGTGTGGATTTTGCTTATCGCATCTGTGTGGCATAATCTACAAGTTCCTTTGTCTCCTATATTCCTTGTAAATTGGTAGTTGCTTCCAGAGGTTTATAGAATTCAGATTAGCTTTTTTTAGCAAAACTGCTTCATAGGAAACTTTTGCACTCTAATGTCAAAGTACGTGTACTGTGTAATTTGCTGTTTTATAATTTTATTTATTCATGTATTTTGGCTGTGCTGAGTCTTCGTTGCTGTGTGGGCTCTTCTCTAGCTGCAGAGCGTAGGGGCTGCTCTTCGTTGTGTGTCGTGGGCTTCTCACTGCAGTGGGGTCTCTTGTGCAGCACGGGCTGCTCTTTGTTGTGGGTCGTGGGCTTCTCACTGCAGTGGCGTCTCTTGTGCAGCACGGACTCTGTGCACGGGCTGCTCTTCGTTGTGGGTTCTGGGCTTCTCACTGCAGTGGTGTCACTTGTGCAGCACGGGCTCTGTGCACGGGCTGCTCTTTGTTGTGGGTCGTGGGCTTCTCACTGCAGTGGCGTCTCTTGTGCAGCACGGGCTCTGTGCACGGGCTGCTCTCTGTTGTGGGTCGTGGGCTTCTCACTGCAGTGGGGTCTCTTGTGCAGCACGGGCTCTGTGCACGGGCTGCTCTCTGTTGTGGGTCGTGGGCTTCTCACTGCAGTGGCGTCTCTTGTGCAGCACAGGCTCTGGGGCACAAGGGCCTCCGTAGCTGAAGCACGTGGCTCAGTCGCTGTGGCTCCCCAGCTCTGGAGCGCAGGGAGAACAGTTTTGGTGCTTGGGCTTAGTTGCCCCACAGCAGGTGGGATCTTCCTGGACCAGGGATCGAACCTATGTCTCCTGCATTAGCAGGCAGATTCTTCGTCACTGAACCAGCAGGAAAGCCCCTCTAATTTACTTTTCTTTTGTCATATTTAATGCCAGAACTCATTAGTTCAGTAGGCATTGCACAGTCATGGTATTTAAATTCTGTCACTTTTATTTCATGTATTATTTGCAACCATTTTCTAAAGAAATGACATCCCTTCATCTGTTACTAAGTTTTTCAATGGTACATAACATTAGAAAGGCAGGATAAACGTTTCTTTTTATATACATATTTTTAAAACAATGAACTGCTTCCCAACACCCTCCAATGAAACCTAATTGAAAAATATATATCTTTATGAATTTGTACACAAAACTGAAGTGGTTTTGATGTTTCAACCCACTGCAGTTAGTATTTTCATTGATGATCACTTGTTTCTGCTTTGATCAAGGGGAGTTTCTTCAAGTTGTTCCTGCACTGTTTTGATACAATCTTAGTCTGCAAACTTACACGCTCCCTGGTATAACAAGCTGCTTTAGTCTTAACCTTCACATTTTCTGGCCCAGTTTTAGTATTTAGTATCATTTATTTCTTTAAGGAACCCAAGCGGGAGCCCTTTTACATGGAAATGTATGTGAAACACACAGTTTGGTCCATTGTGCTTGTTGCTACAGGAGCATGCTCATCACTCAGTCCTGTTCGACTCTGCGGCTGTAGCCTGTCAGGCTCCTCTGTCCATGGGATTTTGCAGGCAAGAGTACTGGAGTGGGTTGCCATTTCCTATTCCAGGGTTGCTGCTGGATTTGTCTTTGTTTCTAGCCCCTTCAGAAAGACCTAGGAAAGAAAAATTAAGATGAAATACATCATGAGTTGAAACCGATTCCTCCAATTAAATTTAGGAGCATGAAAAATTTAGAAGCAAAAAATATTCCTTTAATGTAAAAGGAACACTGTACCCCTGCTCCCATCTGTTCAAGCGGTCAGAAAGTCCAGTCTTTTTCCTAAAACTCTTAGAAACTTCTACCAATACCTGAAGAACGTTTATATATTCTACAGATCTAACCTGGAAGTTCTTTGCTGCCTTTCCTCTGCCTGTTCCCCGAGCCTCTGTTGCTCTCGTATCCTTCTAGGTCACTCTGAAGTTCTCAGGACATCAGACTTCTTTCTAAGATTGTAGATAATCCCTTCCCTTAACTCTTTCAAATCCATTTTAGGCTTTAGTGAAGTATTTAAGTAAAGCTTTACTGAGTACCCAATCACATCAGAAGTACAGGCTATAAGCAATTTATAGTCTCAGCCTGAGGATCACTGCCTACTCTCTGCAGATTACCACAAGACAGGCTCTAATTTACTCACCATATCCAGTGTCCTCCACGCGGAATCCAAGGATTTCCACTTTTTTGATGTGGGAGGAAGAGTGTTCCCTTCTTTGCGTGTCTCAGGTGTACCCTCTTGTTCTGGCTTGATATCATTAGGAATGTCCAGAAGTAACTTCATCTGTATCCACAGGGTGCAGATGCTTCTCCACACAGTCTGGTTGAAGTAGCCATCAGCGGTGTCAGCACGAAGGTCAACATTTTCGCCATGACAGACAATGATGTTTAGGTCCTAGCCTTTGCCTCTTTGATCAGCACCTCTTCTGCCTCTGCCCCATATCTTTGCTGTAGTCATCTGATCCTATATTGCTTCATGTTCTCATTCACCTTTTGTGCCTTTGCTGTTGCTTTTCTCATCATCAAAAATTTTGTACTTCTGCGGTTCTCTCTATATTCTTTTCTAATACATTACATAATTTATTATAATTTTGCATTTTCTTCCCTGTGTTTCCTATTAAGGGAAATCATTGAATAGGAAGAAATTTTTTTAATTTCTGTATTTTTGCTGCCTAGTGTAGTACTTAGAACTAAGAAATTGTTCAGGTCATTTCAATTGCTCAGTTGTGTCTGACTCTTTGCAACCCCATGAACTGCAGCACGCCAGGCCTCCCTGTCCACCACCAACTCCCAGAGTTTACCCAAACTCATGTCCATTAAGTCAGAGATGCCATCCAACCATCTCATCCTCTGTTGTCCCCTTCTCCTCCTGCCCTCAATCTTTCCCAGCATCAGGGTCTTTTCAAGTAAGTCAACTCTTCACATCAGGTGGCCAAAATATTGGAGTTTCAGGTTCAACATCAGTCCTTCCAATGAACACCCAGGACTGATCTCCTTTTGGATGGACTGGTTAGATCTCCTTGCAGTCCAAGGGACTCCCAAGAGTCTTCTCCAACACCACAGTTCAAAAGCATCAATTTTTCGGCAACTCATCCACAGCTGGGTGTTGTTTTTGCTTTGGTTCCATCCCTTTGTTCTTTCTGGAGTTATTTCTCCACTGATCTCCAGTAGCATACTGGGCACCTACTGGCTGGGGAGTTCACCTTTCAGTGTCCTACCTTTTTGCCTTTTGATACTGTTCATGGGTTCTCAAGGCAAGAATGCTGAAGTGGTTTGCCATTTCCTTCTCTAGTGGACCACATTTTGTCATAACTCTCCACCATGACCCATCCATCTTGGGTGACCCCACGTTGAATGGTTTAGTTTCATTGAGTTAGATAAGACCGTTGTCCGTGTAATCAGATTGACTAGTTTTCTGTGATTGTGGTAATTTTCTGTGATTGTGGTAAGAAATTGTAGAAGTTTGTATATCTCCTTTTTCCCTTTTAAAGGAGAGTTTTTAATTTCAAAAGAAAGCCTTATCCTTTTGGATCTGGGATTAGTATGTAGAATATAGAACATAACCCAAACATTCTGATTCAAAAATGGGTGAGGAATTTTACTCGGCAGTTCTTCAGAGAAGTTATACTAATAGCCAATGAGCAGATGAAAAGGTGTTCAAACACTACTTGATGTTTAGAAAATGTATATC